TTGTACGAGGCGTGCTTGTACTCGGAAGTGTGCCCGTCATCGTGATCTTCATGGTGATTTTCTTCACGAAGGGGAGGAGGGTTTTTGGCAGGCCAGTCGGCCCCCTCTGCTTGTGGATGAGGTCTATGTTTGCTTTCGTGCCCTCTTCCAGGGTGACCATGTGGGTGTCGAGGTTGCAACTTCAGCACACGAACATCTGTTGGCAGCAGGAGGTCTTTTGGCAGACGAGGAGCGTGTTGTTTCTTGCAGGCCAATTTCTGACAGCTCCCTATGCCAGGGGCTGGTCATAGATGACTATTTTGCAATTTCTCGAGAGCCCAGAGGGTGTCCCGGTGAAGCCAGCAGGTCCTATGAGTGTTTTCAGAAAAGCCAGAAGATCTATGCTTCTCGTCACATTCTTGGATCTCCTGGGAAAGATGTCATTGCACAGAAGAGGAGCAAGGTGATTGGAGCTGAGATCAACTCAGGAGATGAAGCTGCTCGCAATGGCATCGCAACATTAGGCTCTCCTCTGTCAAAGAGGCTCTCGCTATCGTGGTTGACTTTGCGGAGTACTCAGCTCTCTCACACAACAGATGCTCTTCATTTGTGTGTTGTTGGAGGATGGACATCGATGCTCTTATACCGGCGTCCCTTGATGAGTGTGTTGGCAAGAAGTCATTCCTTGGTTGATGCTTGCAGTACTAATTCTTCAAACCCGCGGCTTGTACCTCTTCCTCGGCGGGTCGCAAATGAGCTTGTTGTCCTGAGTGCGCTTGCCCCCCTGCTCGTCTCTGATCTGGCGGCCCCCCTTCTCGCAGGAGGTTTTCTCTACGGACGCTTCTGATGTGAAAGGCGCCATTACTTCCACTACAGTCTCTCCTTCATTGGTGCAGACAATTTGGAAATCTGGACGCTCGAAGGGTGCCTATACCAGGCTAAAGACTGACTATGAGCAACTCACTGAGCGCCTTGGCCTGAGGGAGGACACTGGTATAGAGGAGGAGGAGGATCACCTCGTCAGTGGTGCAAGCTATGGCAACAGCCTTCGGAGACCCATGGCTTTCAAATATGATTTCATCGAAGTATACGCTGGATCTTCAAGAGTCACTCAAGCGATGGATCAGCTGGGCTATGTCGTTGGGCCACCTATTGACATTGCTTTCAGTGACGAGCTTGACATGAGGCTAACAAGAGTGGTGTCGTGGATTAGCCATTTGCTGGTCTCAGGAAGTCTGGGAAGCATTATGGTGGAGCCCGTTTGCACTACTTTTTCTCTCATCAGACGGCCTCCGCTACGCTCTCGAGATAGGCCTATTGGCTTCAACACTGCCTGCGAGAAGACCAAAGTTGGGAATATTCTTGCGTTGCGAGCTTTGTTCCTTTTGAGTGTGGCTTGGCGCTACTACATCCCTGGACTTGCTGAGCAGCCTTGGACTTCTATGATGAGGTTCCTCAAGCCGTGGCAAGACCTGCAAGAGAAGGAGGGTGTCAGGACTACCAGATCTGATTCCTGTGCTTTTGGATCGCCACACCAGAAGAGTTTTTGTTTTCTGTCAGTATGGTTGGATCCTGGAGAGCTCAACAGAAGATGCAGCAGGGATCACAAGCGTGTGGTAGTTGAAGGAAGGTATACGAAGGCGTCTGCATCCTATACTCCCTGCTTGGCAAGCGCTATTGCATCTTGTTTTCATGCAGCAATTCAAGCACGAAAAGCGGCTCTCCTGGAAGAAGACGAAAAGCCAGTCAGAGGCCTCGAGAACCAGCTCGTGAACACTGTGGCTTTGTCCTCAAAATGGAAGAAGGTCGATGCTTGGAGTTTTCAGACCAAGAGGCACATTAACATCCTGGAGCTCAAAAGCGTCATTCGGCTTGCAGAGAGGCTTGTGAAAAGGGGGCAGACGATCAGGGTCGTCAACATGGTCGATTCGAATGTTATACGTTGTGCTGCTTCCAAGGGCCGATCTTCAAGCCGTGCTCTTACTCCTTTCATTTGCAAATATGGAGCTCTTTGCATAGCAGGAGGGCTCTACATCAGTCTTCCCTTCGTCCCTACAAGGTTGAACACGTCAGACGATCCTACCAGAGATCGTGCCATCAGGGAACCATCGTTGGCAGTAGGCATTGATCATCTTTCAGCGGATGATATTGGAGCTTTGAATGCAGCACCATGTTTGAGGAGGTGGGCGTCCAACTGGATCAGGCTCCTTATTGGACTTTATGGATTTCATGGACTTCCGAAGGCTGGCGCAGCTTCGCGCTTCTATGGACTTCGTTGGACTTTGCCCCATGATTTCTGTGTCGCTTCCAGGCAGCTCCCTTTCTCTCGGGCTATCCTGGTGAAGGCCCTGGCTCTCCTCTCTCTGCTCTTTCGCTCCTCTGCCTCTTCCTCTCTCCTGTCCACTCCTGGCAGCTAGCAGCTTTAGTTCTAGCGGGCGCGTGTCTCACTCGAAGCCATGGCATGATCGGTCCGCAAACCCAAGGGGATGTCCATCGCCGTGTGTTACGGCTTTCGAGACCCCCCCTGCCTCAGGGCAGACCCGACTACAGCAACTTCAGAAAACCGAGAGAAGCTTCTGCGTGATTTCTTTGCCTGGTGCAAGCGTGCCGGCTACGAGATGCAACTCTGGATTGAAAGGCCTACAAGAAATCTGGAGCAAATAAATGAAGTGCTGCAACTATATGGCCGCAGGCTCTATGAAGCAGGGAGGCCCTATGGAGTTTTTGTCGAGTCCATTAATAGCCTGGTTTCTTTTAGACCCGTGTTGCGGAGACAGCTTCAACCAGCTTGGGATGTGGCCTTCGCATGGGTCCGTGAAGAAAGACCGCAACCATCACACAGCCATGCCGTGGCAGATTCTTTTGGCTATGTTGGCGGTGTCTCTAAGCTGGGGACGGCATGAAGTCGCTGGAGTCCTTTCGCTGGGATGGGGTGCACTTTTACGTACCTCTGAAATGACGGGAGCCCTTCGGCGTGACATTTTGCTGCCCTCCGATACGATGAACTCAAACAACTTCTGCTTGCTGGGGCTCAGAGAGCCAAAAACGAGGTTTGTTGCTGCGCGCCATCAAACTGCTAAGCTGGATATAGGTGACCTAGTCCGTGTATGTGAGCTTTCCTTTCATGACAAACTTCCTCACCAACGCCTTTGGCCTTTTTCGGCCCATACCTTCAGGTTAAGATTCAAGGATCTTCTCAACGCCCTGCAATTGACTCCAGGGTCACACCCCGGCGTCAAGTCACTGGACGTCGGGTCGTTACGACCCGGCGGTGCGACGTGGCAATTGCAGACCACAGAAGACCCAGACTTTGTGCGGAGAAGAGGCCGGTGGATCAATGCAAAAGTGATGGAAATTTACATACAGGAAATTGGTTCGATTCAGTTTTTGCTTCATTTGAACCAGCAGCAGCGGAGTTTCATTTTTGGCCTGGCTCGGCGTTTCCTATAGTACTCCAAAAAGCTGAAGTTTTGCGCAGAGCTAGAATTCTAGGTGTGGCATGGTTCCCGCTTTTGTCGAGAGACAAGCCCTAGTGGCTGGTGCTGTGGGAAGAGATGGGTTGGTTGGCCAAAGTGGCCGTCTTTTCGTGAAGCAGCTCTTGCAGAAGTGGTCAAAAGAAGTGCACCAGCCGAGTCTTT